TGGAGGAGATGGACGGACATGTAAGACTTTTTTTTTCCAAAGGAGAAAAATATGAAGGTTCCTCTATCTACACCAATGACTTACATTAGAATTGATAATCTGTGGGGACAAAGAAATCATACAGACAAAAGTATCTAAAATTGGCTAAAATTGTACGCAGCTTCAGAAAAAATGGGATTCGTACTTTAAAAGAACACTGACAATTACTGAATTTTATCTCTAACTTGATCAAGCAAATATTCTATGAGTTGTAATTATAATTTCTCTGCAGGTATTTCTCTGAGACCTGACATTATTTCAAGGGTTCCAACAGGGTTAAAAGATGGGAAAGGTTAGCGGAGTTACTTTTCTTCCTTAGGGAGAGTTTGGACGTGTGGACAATCTTTCTGTTGGTGTCTGAGTATATTTTCAGAGAGGAACACACTGCCTTAACTGCACTGAAGAGAGGTGTATCCTTTCCCACTGCCGCTCGTGCGCCTCAGCCTACACTCACCCTGCATGCAGGACCTGTGTCTGTCAATGCCCAAGCCACGGAGCTGAAGCTGGTCCAGGGGCCCTCTACTTCTGGGCTTAGGGACTCCGCAGAACTGCACGACCTTCCCAAAAGCTCACTTGTAACATGAATTATTTTGTCACCTGAATCTATCAGCTTTCCCTTTTTCAGGAATTACTTGAATTTAATGGGGTTTTTTTTTATGGCGTTTTCCACCCAGAATTTGCAGGAATTCTTAGCCTTTCAGTTACTTAGAATAGGTGTGGTCTAAGTGCATATGACAACAGATTAATTTATTAAGCCAAAAAGTCAGTCTTCTTTTACCTAGCACCCTTATTTTCTTACATGGCCTGGAATAAACAATGGCTGTGCCCCTCCATTTGCCATATAATAAATGCACTATCTATTATCTCAGGTAGCCTCATTAAATCACTATTACTCTCTGATAAATGAACAAACAGGCTCAGAATGATTAAGGCCATGGCACATCTATGAAGGGTCAAGTCATATTCAAATCCAGGCGGAAGAGGAAAAAAAGAACTGATACCAGGGCTTAAGTAGAAAGAAATTGTTTTGGAACTATTGATGGCAACATATGTACAAGTGTGCTTAATACTATCATTGAATGATGGATTCTTGTAAGATTTCTAAAAGCCCCCAATAAAATGATTAATTAAAAAAAAAATAAAATCCAGGTCTGTAACGCTAGAGACAATTGAGTGTGCCACTCTGTCTGCCTGATGGGAAAGGGGTCAAACATCTACATTACCAGGCACACACCCTCCCACCACCACCACTAGTCCTGCCTCTCTCCCTTTCCTGTCCTCTTAGTGGAACAGCATCAAGGATAAGATGAGATAGGACCACAATGGATGGGGACAAGGAAGCAGCATTTGGAACTAGAGCAGACTGCTGTTTCACATAAGTTTGGACAAAAAGCTTTCCTTTGTCAGCAAATGCATTAGTTTTTCCTTCACCAATGCACTCATTATCAATTATGTTTATTTCTTGAGTCTTTTAAATAATAAATGCAAAACTAAAATTTTTTTCTTTAGCATTCTACTGGGGGGGGGGGTCCCCACAAATCCCATGACAATCCATCATTCAATTGCATTAAGCGCACACATACATATGTTGCCATCAATACCCTCAAAACATTTTCCCCCCACTTGAGCCCCCGCACCATCCTCTCTCGACCTTCTCCTTCCTCCCCCAGAACTAAAAATCGTTAGGTGATCTAAGTCATAGAACTATACAACAAAATGAAGACCACTAAAACATAATGGTCTTTCCATTTTGAAATACAATCCAAATGTCATGTTTTCAGAATGAGCCAAAATTAGTACTGCTCTGTTCTTCCTCTGCTCAGCTGGACACAGACAGAAGGACGCTTCAGTCACACACAATCCAATTTCAGAAGACCTCTGGCTTCTACACTGCCCAGATCTCCAAAGCAAATACGGTAAGTGTCTGTGGTCGTTCCAGTTAACCGTAATTACAACTATTTTTAGTCACAGTAACCAAAAATCTTAATGTTGAACAAGAACTTTTTTTTAAATCACTTTATTAGGGGCTCATACAACTCTTATCACAATCCATACATACATCAATTGTGTAAAGCGCCTTTGTACATCATTCTCAAAACATTTCCTCTCCACTTAAGCCCCCGGCATTAGATCCTGATACTTTCCCCCTCCCTCCCCGCTCCTCCCTCCCTCATGAGCCTTTGATAATTTATAAATTATTTTGTCATATCTTGCCCTGTCCGACGTCTCCCTTCACCCACTTTTCTGTTGTCCATCCCCCAGGGAGGTCACATATAGTTCCTTGTAATCAGTTCCGTCTTTCCTACCCACTCTCCCTCTACCCTCCTTGTATCGCCACTCACACCACTGGTCCTATAGGGATCATCCGCCCTGGATTCCCTGGATTTCCAGTTCCTACCTGTACCAGTGTACATCCTCTGGTCTAACCAGACTTGCAAGGTCGAATTCTAGTCATGGTAGTGGGAGCGGGGAGGAAACATTTAGGAACTAGAGGAAAGTTGTATTTTTCATCATTGCTACATCGCACCCTGACTGGCTCATCTCCTCCCTGGGACCCCTCTGCAAGGGGATCTCCAGTGGCCTACTGATGGGCTTTGGGTCTCCACTCCGCACTCCCCGCATCATTCACTATGGTAAGATTTTTGAACAAGAACTTTTGAAGAGGAAAAAAAAAACCTCATATAGTATTCCTTTAGTGAAAATAACTCTTGTAGCCAAGTATACAGATGTGATGGTGCTGGTTAACCCAAAGAATGAAGGCAAATGAAATACTCAACATTTCCCTTTTACCTGAACCTGCTGTGGCTGCTGAACCTGGATCTGCTGTTCTTGCTGAGTCTGTGGCTGGACACTGGTCGTGACTGGACAAGCTAGCTCAAGCAAAGACCCAGCCACTTCGGTGCTGTCTGTGTAAATGCAGCTCCCACCCTGCTGGTACACCATGGTCGTGGTAGCTGTCTGTTGGAACTCCTGAAGGGCTTCTGGCCCTTTGGAGGCCAGCGAGTCCAGAAACTCCTTCATCCTGTGTTGTGGGACAGACCTTGCCTTGACTCGGATATACTCTTCAAAGGAGATGGTATTCTCCAGAGAATTATTCATATTGCAGAGTCCTTAGGGTTCCTAAAAATAAAAGAATGAACAGAAGTCAAAGTTATGCTACTGCTTTTATATCTTGAAATGATTAGAAGCAGACACCCTCATATCAGAACAGAATATTTCAGGGCAGCTAAATAACATCTAGAATCAAAGTAAAATTTTATTATACTACTTTATTCTTTCAGTTAATGGTGTTTGCAAACCTTTTTCATACAAAGTATATCAAACTATGACACAGAAAACAAAAAACAAAAGTATGATTCACAATACTGGATGAAACAGGCTGAACACACACTCCCCATCCCGCACGGAGCCAATCCCATCTTCTGGTCAGTAAAAGTCACATGCAAAACTACTCTGTGGCCCTCACAGAGAAGACTACCAAGTAAGGAGAAGCAAGTGAGCAACAGGGATTCCGACTGACATGTCTTTAATCCACTACCAAATAGGTCCTATAATGGAGGGCTTAGCCCCTAGCTGCAGGGAAACTCAAGAAAGTGTGTACCCACCTCCCGTTAGAAATACACAATATCCCATTTAGCCTTATACTGCTTGAATCCTTTTGTAGAATCACTTATTGGTTTAGAGCAGTGGTTCTCAACCTTCCTAATGCCACGACCCTTTAATACAGCTCCTCATGTTGTGGTGACCCCCACAACCATGAACTATTTTCGTTTCTACTTCATAATTGTAATTTTACTACTGTTATGAATCGGGCGACCCCTGTGAAAGGGTCATTTGACCCCCAAAGGGGTCGCGACCCACAGGTTTAGAGTGTAGACTCTGAGTCCAGACTACCTGGGTTCGAATATCAGTTCCTTAGCTGTGTATGCTTGAGCAAGTAATTTAACCTCACTGTTCTTATCTATAAAGTAGAGCATATTAAAATGGTACTTTCCACAAAGAGCTAACATGAAGATTAAGACACATGTAAACCACTTAGAAAAGTACCTGACACACAGTGCTATATTAGTGTTAGATATTATTACTATAATAATTTCATGGGACTAGATTGAAGGAGCCCTGGTAACTCAGTGGTTAAGCCTTCACTCTGAACCAAAATGTTGGTGGTTTGAATCCACTAGCCATTTTGTGAGAGAAAGATGTGGTAGTGTAACAACGATGAGAAATACAACTTTCCTCTAATTCCTAAGTGTTTCCTCTCCGCTTCCACTATCATGATTTGAATTTTACTTTGCAAGTCTGGCTAGACCAGAGGATGTACACTGGTACAGATAGGAACTGAAAATACAAGGAATCCAGGGCGGATGAGCCCTACAGGACCAGTGGTGTGAGTGGTGAAACAGGGAGGGTAAAGGGAGAATGGGTAGGAAAGAGGGAACCGATTACATGGAACTGTGTGTGACCTCCTCCCTGGGGGACAGACAACCGAAAAGTGGGTGAAGGGAGACGTCGGACAGGGCAAGATATGACAAAATACCAATTTATAAACTATCAAGGGCTCATGAGGGAGGGGGCAGCGGGGAGGGAGGGGGAAAATGAGGACCTAATGTCAGGGGTTTAAGTGGAGAGAAAATGTTTTGAGAATGATGTACAAATGCGCTTTACACAATTGATGTGTGTATGGATTGCGATAACAGTTGTATGATCCCCTAATAAAATGTTTAAAAAAAGAAAAATCAAAAAAAATAATAATTTGCATGTCACTACCAAACAAATCCAAATTCTGTCAAAATGTTTCCACATAGGACCTAAAAAAAAAGTTACTACTCTGGTCCAAACAGGAATTTCCTCCTTGAGCAAAAGAGCAACTAAAGTTGGACATCCATGACTCAAGAATAATGTAACAAAGTTTGGAAAATATCCGTTACAAAATAATACAAGTCCATACTTTCAGCTTTCATCAAAAGCCTCCTACAAGACTGACTAGGGAAATTTCTTTAGAACAGTTTGAAAAGGTTGACACAGGTCCACACAGGTGCTCATTACAGTTTTCTCCCTGTAAAAATACCTGAAATACTTTATAATAAAAATGTCTTTTTGTTTACTGTTAGCCAAGTGATTTGAACTCCAGAGTGTAGAACCCTTAATATGTTCCTCACACTCTTAAGATTGAAATTCTCAGTGGAGTTTCAAGTAGAACCCACCACTATTTCCCACAAAACTTCTTTTAATAACTCCTCACAAAGCTCCCCATTGACTCTGCAAAAACCAGAATGATTCAAGGACCACAGAATCAGAGGAAGCTAATAGATCCCATTAAGAAAAAAATAAAAACTTTAATGGAAAAGAATTGGAAAGAACACTCCACTCTGCACATTAGCGCACTTACACAGAGATAGTTTCATTTCTTTTTTTTTTTAGTTTCATTTCTTGTCCCTTGAAACTTGTTGGCTTGGCAGCACCCATCAGTGTGTGCATATGTACACCTAGTCAGCATTTGACCTGATACACGAGCAATTAGAAGATGCTCCCCAGTCAGAGAACATGCAGGCTTTTCCAGCACTGTCTCTAAGGCACATACAGGTGTCGTGGATTTCTGAAAAGCCACTCCTCATGAGGCAGCAGCATCATCACTCCAGGCCAGTCACCCAAGACAGCTCCTCCACCCTGCAGTCCTCAGAAGGAGCGATTCTACATGCCTCAAGCAGAAAACCCTCAGGGAGAAAAGAAGGACATGGCAAAGACAAACAATGAAAACCGAAACCACCTTGTTAATCTGACAAACAGCCATGCAAATAAGATTTTTAAAATACATTATTTCAGGGCAAAATGTGATCATTTCTGGCCTGTTACTTTGTTCTATTCCCAGAAGGGAAGCTCCAAAACCAAACTCACGGCTATCGAGGCAATGCCGACTCACAGCCATACTGCAGACAGAGTAGATGCCGACTCACAGCCATACTACAGGACAGAGAACTGCCTCTGTGGGTTTGAGATTTGTTTCCCCTCTTCACGGAGTAGTCTCATCTTTCTCCCTCGCTCGCCGTTGGTTCTGAAGGGCTGACCTTGGGGTTAGCAGTCCATCATGTTACCCACTCCGCCCCCTGGGCTTGTGGAGGGGAAGGTAACAGTGCACAAACATTAAGTAACTGGTGAGGCTTCACAGTTGACACATAGTCCAAATTCTGTGGAAATCTTGGTGGAAAGACAAAGAAGTCTCCCCACACCCTCCAAAATAAACCCCTATAGATTTCCAAAGGCCTTTCCCTGGCTCTGTTGCTCTCTAGGCCTCAAAAGCAAAGCGTCTAATTCAAGTTCTGCAGCAGCTAGGTCTAGTGAAGGTTCGCCAATGAGACACAGTCCAGAATTCCTGGAGACCCCCACGAAACACATGGGGACACATCCTCAGAAAAGCTCCAATTCCCACAGGGCAGTGGCCTTCCAAACGTAGCTCAATTTGGGGAGAGCTAGGCTGATTCTAGTCTACCCCAGGAAGGGCTGGTCAAGATGCGTTTTAACCTAAAAGATGTGACTTGACTCATTTACCCTCCTAAAACAGAAAGGCTTCAGGTGAATAATGTTCTCAGAGGCCCTGCTGTTGCTAGCAACCTCACAGCCCAAAGTACCCTGACCAAATCTTCCACCTCTTTTATGCTAGGGGAAAATTAACAATTCCTAAAGGATAAATATAAACCAGTTACAATGAATTTAGCTTCCATGTTTCTGAAACGTTAACCCTGCATAACCTCAAATAAAAGTTTGCCAACACACAGGAAATAGATGCCACTGAAATGCATGGATATCCTGCAGTCACCGGATCCCAGTCAGAATCTAGCTCGACCCCATCTCCACGCTCAGATGCAATTGTCCCCACATCTCTGCTCCATTCACCCGTTTCAGAAATACACTCAAATGTTTTAAGTAAGTCAATGAGTAAAGAAAACAATTCAGAAAAAAAATCTTGCACAAGGCAATGGTTTTCTTCCTATACTTACTTTTATACCACACAATCCTATCACAGAATCAGATCACTCCTCATTCATAACTTTCATTTTAGTTTAACTTTCTATACATGCTTTCACCCATTGATGTCTATATTGCATAGTGAAGGAAAAATTTAATTTTACTTTGCTGAAGACTAACAACTTGTCCTTTTATCAATCAATAAATTACTGAAATTATTTAGCTGACTTGAAATGTACTATATTATACACTAAATTTACATAAATAATACCTGTGTCTAAGTTTTTTGGTGACTCCACTGTTCTTTCTGTAGCACAGTAGCTGGAAGATTCTTTGTGCATTCTCAGCCCTGCTAGTTATTTAAAATTTTTAATGACACAGAAGGCACATTAAGGGTAAAAAGGCAGACCATATATTTATACACTCCAATTTTGTTTAGTCATGACTCAATTTTTCAAAAGACTGGATAATGTAACAAATTAACATTTTTAACAATGATGGCTAAACAATTGTAAAAGAATGAAATACTAAGCCAGGCTGGGAGATATGCTGGCAAAACATATATCTGATAAAGGACTTATAATCAAAATACAAGGCGCCCTGGTGGGGCAGCGGGAAAGCAGAGGGTCAGTAGTTCAAACCCACCAGCCTCTCTGCAGGAAAGTTGTAGCCATACAGATTGCTGTTTAGTGCTGTTGAGTTAAGTCCCTACTCAGAGTGACACTATCTACGGTTTGTTCTGGGCCATCCTCACAAATGTTGCCATGTCTGAGTCCACTGCTGCAGCCACTGTCTCACTCTGTCTTGCTGAGGGTCCTCCTTTTTTCACCAATCCTGTACTTTACCAAGCATGGTGTTCTTTCTCGAGACTGGTCCTTCTTGATAACATGGTCAAAGTATGTAAAATGAAATCTTGCCACCCTTGCTTCTAAAGATTAGCACTGAATGTATGGGATACATCAAGGACATCGGACAAGAAAACAAAGGGTCATTAAAAAGCCAGGGAAGAAAAAAAAGAGACCAAAAAGGATGTCAGATGAATCAGAGTGGCACTAAGTGTAGAACAGTTAAAATCAATGAAAGAAATAATGAAGAGAGGTGAACAATCGATTTGTTTGAAAGCTTGAGATGACTAAGTATTACAATAAAATGTGCAAAGACATGGAATTAGTAAACCAAAAGGGAAGAACACATTCAGCTACCCAAGCTAGAAAAACTAAAGACAAAATTCAAGCCTCGAGTTGCAATGTTGAAGGATTCTATATGGACAAATTATTGAATGATGCAGAAAACAAAGGGAAATGGAAGGGACAGTCACTGTACTACCCTGTTTCCCCCAAAATAAGACAGTGTCATATTAATTTTTGCTCCCAAAGATGCACTAGGTCTTATTTTCAGGGGATGTCTTATTTTTCCATGAAGAAGAATATGGTACACATTTATTGCTTTATTAAAAGAGACCTCGCACTTCCTGTCTGCTCCGGCTGCTCTGCGGCCAACAGTGAGCTGCGCAGTGGCTATGGTCCAGAGTCCAGAGTTACGATAGCTTCAGACGGGTCTTATTTTCAGGGTGATGCCTTATATTTCAGCGAGAGACAAAACTGTAAGTAGGTCCGAGGCAAAACTGTAAGTAGGTCTTATTTTCAGGGGATGTCTTACTTTTGGGAAAACAGGGTATAAAGATTACAGCCTTAGAAACTCTGAGTAGCTCTACTCTGTCCTGTAGGGTCACAATGAGTTAATAATAATTGATTCCATGGCAACTGGTTTTATGCATAATACTGAAAAACTCATTTTATAAAAACCCAGAAGAATCAAATGTAAAGAGAAAAAAAAAACCCAGGAGAAACTAAAACAGGTTACATATTATAAAACTGCAACTACATACAAAACTGTAGAAACAGTAAAAAGATCAGTGGTTGCCAGGGGTTGGGGTGGGAGAAGGAGGGCTAAACAGACGAGTGAGAAGAGTGAATTTTTAAGGTAGTGAAATTATTCTGTATAAAACTAAGAATGTACATGAGACTAAGCATTTATCGGGGTGGGGGGGGGAATTAAAACCATTTGTGGAAACCCATAAAACTATACAAATCAAAGAATGAGTTCAAATAAACTTTAGTTAATAATAACAATAAACACTGGCTTATCAATTTTAACAAATGTTAACATAACAATGCAAGATGTTAATAAAGGGGAAAATTGTGTGCGCGTGTATATGAGAACGTATGAGAACATTCCAACTTTCTATAAACCTAAAACTACTCTAAAAATTAAATAATATTTTAAAAGGTTAACTGGTTTTGCTGGGAAGAGGAATCACAGAATATTTCTGTACAGTGATTACATCACAGTAATGGTAATCAACACCACGTCCAGGTCTGTAAAGTCAGTTTCATACACAAAAGAAAACTATAAACTCCACAGTAAGTCAGAAAGATTTTGTTAAAATTACAGTATTTTGTTCAAATGCAGTATACTTCTCCACAAAATCCAATACTCTCAAAGACAAACCAAACTATTTGGTACTACGAGCTTGCATAATAATGAAGACTATTAACTTCTTCAAGATGCTAACTGGACCCACAAAGTTGCACTTGGTAATAAACAGAAATGGAGTAAACTGATGAAACTGAAAGAAAAAAATTACTAATTTGCTCAAGTCGAAGTAAAATACAGGTATGCATTACCTCTTAGCTATTCAGGCAACAATTGACTGTATATATTCCGTATATACCTATGGTTTCATAAGGTTAAAAAAAAAGTAAAGGAAGCACCTCTTTGTACTTAATATTTCCACTTAATGTTTTTAAAAACCCTAAACTCAAATGCTTACAACACTGGACCAAAACTGAGATACAGACATACGAGACACGTGGCATGGCTCTGTAGTGAGCAGGTGGGCAGTAGTGGTGGGGGTCTGGGGTGATCAGGTGGAACAGGAGGACACTGTTCTCTCCCTATTTGCTTCCTCTCACTCCATCCCTTTGGCCAAACTCTTGGGCAATCGCTCAGATCCCAAAACCACTGCTCTTTCCTCCTGCTTCTGCAGGATGAAGATGATCAGAAACAGCTCCCTTAAGGTTGTTTTTTTTTCCTCCCATAAGGTTTTAATATGGTGTTCACACAACGTCTAAATCACAAAACATCCTATTTCACAGAACATGCTGCAGATGTTAAGTGACACATACCTGTACTTCTAAAAAACATGAGCTGGAGAGAATCAAATGGTAGATTAATAATGGAGAAAGCAGAAAGTCCTTTCCTCCTCATTAGAAAGAACAAGTCCTGTGAATAAGCAATTGCTTCTAAATGCTTTAGTTTCAGTATAGCTGCTTTGCAAAACAATAGACAGATCAGCCTCCCACCAGGGCTGACTTTCTTTAGTGTGAAAGTTTTTCTCTTTTCCAGTTAGGACTAAGTGAAAACCTTACTACTGACCAGGGTCAGCCTTGAGTTTTCTCTCTGCCATCCCTTCTCTGCTGTCCATAGAGCTTGGCATCTTGAAGATGAAATAGACAAAGATTAGATACTCAGAGCTTCCTTATGGAAGCCAATTCCTATTTTACTCAACAGCCAAGCTCCAGTCCCTCGTCAATGCTAACATTTACTCATTTGTTACATCTGCTTCAAAGAACACATTCAATATTACAAAAAAATACTACTAATATTTTTTTTTTCCATTATAAGGAGTCACAGCCATCTTTGTCCTAATTAACAGAGTCATTTCCAAGAAGCCATGTAGGAGACATATTTCTGTGAGAGAGAAATCCACTATAGCATTTGGGATGGAAATCACCCCATTAAGCCATTCAATCTGCTCTGAACTTTTGCCAGAATGGTCCCTAATTCAGGGCCTTTTCATCATGACTCAATTTAAAAAAAAAAATTTTTTTTCATGACTCAAATTTTTGACAACACACTTTCAATGTACAATTCACAATCCTACCACGGATTAACGGACTGCAAATTGGCACTACCATTTGTATTATCTAGAAAATTATCTGGAAAATACCAATTTCTTATGGCCCAGCAATTCTACCCCTAGGTGTTTATGACATACACCTGTGTAGGAGTGATCACCACAGTAATTTTAAAAGCAGCTGAAAAACTGGAAGCTATCTAGATGTCCACGAATACTAGAATGGATAATAAACTGTGATACATTCATAGAGTACTACACAGAAATGGGAATGAATAGACTACAGCTACACACAACATGGATATAATTCACAATGTAATAAAGGCAGCACAAAATACAGTATGATTCTATTTATATAAAATACAAAAGCAAGCAAAATTAAACTGTTAATTAGTAACACAAAAACAGTAAAAGAAAAACAAAGAAAGTCATTATCACAGACTAGGAGCCATCCCTAGAGGTTCAGGAGTCCTCCTGTGTGGTACAAACAGTTCGTTAATGCACTCACTAGGCTGCTCACCAAAAGGTTGGAGAATCTAGTTGACACTTCAGAAGGCCTGGCAATCTACTTCTGAAAAATCAGTCACAGAAAAGCCTAAGACACACACAGCGTCACTGTGAGTTGTAATTATACAGGGGTTCACTTCACAATTTTTCTTTAAACTGTACTTAGATCATCTGAATTTATACAAATAGATACATTAAACTTTTAACAAAGAATTAGGAAAAAGATAAAAGCAGCTTGTCCTGCCCAAAGAAAAAGAGCCAAGGAACCCTCATCACCACCACCACCACCCTCTTTCAACCAAGCAGGAAGCTAATCTATCACTTCTTTATGCAGTCAGTTTAATTTAATACCGGAAATCACAATCCAATGTGGGCATTAGGGAAAAACAAAGGCAACATTGAAGGGAAGCCCAGAGAGGGCTGAAACCTTACGAACAGATGGAACAAAACACAGAGCAGCAAATAAAGAACAGAAAAGAACAGATGTTCATTTTAACACCTCACACTACAATTAACTGAGAAATCAACGATTATAGAAAGAGAATGGCCAGGAGCGGGGAGCTGGAAGGGAGGGGAAAAAATGAGGACCTGATACCAGGGGCTTAGATGGAGAGCAAATGTTTTGAGAATGATGAGGGCAATGAATGTACAAATGTGCTTTACACAATTGATGTATGTACGGATTGTGATGAGAGTTGTATGAGCCCCTAATAAAATGATTTTTAAAAAAAGAAAGGAAAGCCAAAAAAAAGAAAGAGAATGGCCACTTGAAAAGTAAGACAAGCAAGAAGCATGGCCCCTCAACGACAAACCACAGCTGGTTATATGGAAAAAGCACATGCAAGCCTGAAGAGAGACAGACAACCACTCTGGAAGTCCCCACCATAAAGTGCAGAGGGTCATGCGAGGTACACAAATTCTTCATCACTGAGGACCATAAGGAGATCATCTCCTCACAGGCAAAAATCTTATTCGGTGAGTTGAGGACAGTAATATCTATAAGTTATCAATGCAAATGTCAGATCTCAAACTTGCGGGCTATAAAACAAAAATATTCCAAAACAAGATCTAAAAGGTCTATTAAAAGTAGAAGTGTCTTAGATAAACTTGCCAGCTTTTTGTTGAACCAGAGTAGCGGGTATCTTGCTGCACTACAACCGGCAAGTTGCCCAAACTCACGTTTTAAGAGAACACTGTCCAAGCAGCAGTCTGCAGATGGATTCAAAGATGCAGCTGTACATCTTCAATTTTCCAGTACTCAGTAGTTTCTGCCAGACAGCACCCAGAATGATTCACAGAATTTGTAATGTTTCACTATTACCAGAAAAAAAGGGCACACATTTCCAGCATATGACTTTAACTCGCCAGTCACCACAATGTATGTATTTCTGAGGCTTGTCCTGAGTTCTTAAGACATGTAACATTCTGAAGAAAATAGTACAGACATTCATCCCAGTAACTTCAATAACTTTTAGAGTTTCGTCTTTGTTCTTAATACACTACATTGGAAAGAATTCCTCCCATCAGCATCAAATTTGATGAACCACTAATTTTACTTACGGTACTTTTAGCTTCTTTTCCCTTTGATACAATGAAACAAACCTGTACAACATAACCTAGCAAATGATGTCTTGGAAAAGAGAGACATATTGTGTTCTCTAGGTGAACCTAGAACACAATGTTAGAATGGCAGAGATGAATGGGACTGAAACCCTTCAAGCAGTGATTTTTGGCAGCGACGGGCAGATGGATTCTAGAAATTTCTGATGGAAATTTTTAAAATAAAGTCAAGGGAAGCATTGATCCTGAGGCGCTTGTTCAATTTTGTTCTGGGCAACTTTATGGCTAAGAGAACGAGGCTCCCTCCTATTAAAAGCAAACTCCCCCCACCCCATGCAAACGAAGAGACTTTGAAATTTTAAAAAGGATTTTAAAAGCTGCAGTGTTTCACGTCGCCCAGACGAGGATCCTTCCAGAGCGCGCAGAGGTGACGTGTAGGATGCGCTTAAGGAAGAACTAGTTTGTAACTGCAAAAAAGCAGATAGTTTAAGGGTCCACTAGGATTAAGCTCTTCCCTCTCCAGCACAAAGCACCAGATCAAGGTGAGGTAACCTGGGAGATAGGGCCTGGCTGTCCTTGCAAAGCCAGCAGAGCTTGGAATCTGATGCAAGGCAGCGCCTTCCCAAGCACCCTCGCTGCACATGGGCCTGCGCTCACCGCATTCTCCGAGAACTGGCAACCTCACCCCCCCTCGCACATAGGGGTCCGCAAGTCAAACAGTCACGCAAGCCCAAGCCACAGAAGACCCGGAACGTCACCGGGATCCGAAACAGAAAAGGCCCAGCCCGCAATCTTGTCCGCTCTGCGAGTTGCCCGTCCGCCGCTGTTCCAAGGCGCCGCAGGGCCGACACCCAACAGCAGGGTGCGCGCCCCAAAGCCGGGGGTCGCGGGCGGGCGGGCGCGCGCGCCGCGGAAAGTCGCTCTGGCCCACAGGCCCCAGCTCAGAGAGCCAATATCCGGACCGGGCACGCGCACGTCGGCGGCCACGCGCACCGGGAAGGCCGCACAGCGCGCGCGCTCCCGCGCGTACAAACAGGCCTTAAAGAGCGCGCGCCGCGCCCACCAAAATCCTCGGACCGCCCTTCCCCCACCTAAGGAGCCGGGGCGCGCGGGTCCAGGGACATTCTGGACACAGGAGCCGCCCCAAGGTCTCCAGGGCCCAGTGGCAGC